AGGAGGACGACTCGCTGTGGTGACCCCTGAAGAGGGAAAAGTCGAAAGAAGAAGAAGAACACTTTATGTATGTAAGTTACAAATATAATCTTACACTAAACATATACTGGCTCATTACATAAAGTCATGGAGGCAGAAAACCTGCAGCACAGAATCATTCTAAACTCATCATTCGTGAATTTAATTTTTTTATCTGTGTTTACAAATGTGAAGAAGCCACAAGCAAAGTTACAGCATGCCATGCCACATGTTTTAACATGGTTATTCATCAAAATTATTTATTCATCAAATAACCATGTGTATCTTTCAGACAAACAATAATGTTTAAAGCAGCACAAGGACAGCCTGATATCAGACAGAAATGTCTCAGGATGTTAAACAACAGCTGTCAACTCTGTCAACCACCATGAAGAACTTCATGGCAGCACGACGGCTCAGTGATTAGCACTGTTGCCTCACAGCAAGAAGGTCCTGGGTTCCATCCCCGGTTGGACATGGGGTCTTTCTGGGTGGAGATTGCATGTACTTCTCGTGCTTGCGTGGGTTTTCTCTGGGTACTCTGGTTTTCTCCCACAGACCAAAAACATGCATGTTAGGCTGCCTTCAGGCCCAGGCCTCCCTTGCAAAGGAGATTTGTAATCTCAATGGGATTTGCCTGGTTAAATAAAGGTTAATAAATAAATAAAAAAAAGCTTTGATGAAATGAAATGAATTAATGAGCCCTTTTTCGAAACAAGCCTCAGTGCTTCAGAAAAGTAATTAAATAATTTGCCCATTCCTATTTATATATCAAAACATTTGGGTCATTTAGAGGATGGGTACTATGACTTTTGGATCTTATTATTTTTATACATTTCAAAATATTTAACTTTATTTACAAAAAAATCCCTGTACAAATACAATGACATCCATCCATCCATCCACTTTACCCACTTCTTCCTTTTCGTGTCACAGGGGTTACTGGTGCCCATGTTTCAGCTATTGCTGCGTGAGAGGTGGGGGACACACTGGACAGGTCTCCAGTCCATCACAGGGACACATAGAGACAAACGAGACAAACAACCATTCACTCTCTCACTCACACCTAGGGACAATTTAGTTACCAATCAGCCTAAAATGCATGTTTTTGGTATGTGGGAGGAAACCGGAATACCCAGAAAAAACCCACGCATGCATGGAGAGAACATGCAAACTCCACCCAGAAAGGCACCAGGCTGGGATTTGAACCAGGGTGATCTTTTCACAACTGATCCACCGTGCTACCCTGAGATCTTTTCAGTGACTTAAAAATATGTTCTTTTTGTATTCTGTTTTAGCTTATAGCAATGTTTTTTTCTTTCTTTTCTGTGAATTGGGGCTAAATAAATAAACAAATGCTGTCTACACTTGCTCCCACAAACTTTACACTTTTTGTAAAGTTTATGCCTCAAAACATCAGCACACACACAGGTTAGAGTATCGCAAAAGCAAGTTTGGTGTTTGTTCCCTTCAGATATCAGAGTCAGAGAGTCAGAGAGTCAGAGTTTCTTTATTGTCATTCGCACCTCATGTGGTACATGTGGTGGAGCGAAATTATGTACACAAGGTCCCAGTTACATCCAACAATAAAATGTATAAGAAAAACAGTAATAACATCTAAGATATGAATTAAGAAAAACATCAACTAAATATACACTAAGCACTCATAACATAAAACATTGAACATCAGCACAAACTAGAACATGAGTCTGTGAGTAGATGTGCACGCATGAACACATCAACATTGAAACAGATCAGCAGCAACATGAAACAGATCAGCAGCAACATGATATGGTTTTTCACAGTGATTATTCTAGTTAGAGATTCATGAGTCTAACAGCCTCAGGGTAGAAGCTGTTCCTCAGTCTAGTGGTTCTACACTTAATGCTCCTTAACCTCCTTCCTGAGGGGAGTGGGGCAAAAAGTGTGTGTGCTGGGTGAGTGGGGTCCTTCATGATGCAGGTGGCCCTCTTCCTGCATCTGGAGGTGTAGATGTCTGTGATGGTGGGGAGGCTGATTCCGACAGATTTCTGTGCAGCCTTCACCACTCTCTGCAAAGCTTTTCTTTCTGCAGCTGTGCAGCCTCCATGCCACACGTTGATGCTCGAGCACAGGATGCTCTCCACTGCACACCTGTAGAAGGAGGTGAGGACTGAGCTTCCCAGACCAGCTCGCCTCAGCCGTCTGAGGAAGTAGAGTCTCTGATGAGCTTTCTTGATCAGGCTGGTGGTGTTGTTGCTCCAGCTGAGGTTGTCATTCATGTGTACACCCAAGTACTTGTAGCTGGAGACCACTTCCACCGCAGATCCTCTTATGTTCAGGGGGGTGTAGATGTTTTTGTTCCTTCTGAAGTCCACAATCATCTCCTTTGTCTTCTTCACATTGATGTGAAGGTTATTCTCTTTGCACCAGCTCTCCAGGTGTTCCACCTCTTGCCTGTAGCTGGACTCATCATTGTTTGTGATGCATCCCACCACCGCTGTATCATCTGCAAACTTTACAATGTGACAGTCTGGATGGGTAGCTGCACAATCATACGTGAGCAGAGTAAACAGAAGGGGGCTCAACACACATCCCTGAGGAGAGCCAGTGCTGAGGGTTATGGTGGAGGAGGAGAAGTTGTGGATCCTCACGAACTGTGGTCTGTTTGTTAAAAAGTCTAGTACCCAGTTGCAAATGTAGGGGCTTAGTCCTAGTGTGGATAGTTTGTCCATCAGGGTTTGGGGGATCATGGTGTTGAAGGCAGATGTGAAGTCCACAAAGAGCATACAGACGTAAGAGTTTTTCTGCTCCAGGTGGTTGAGCGCAGTGTGGACCACAGAGGAGATGGCATCCTCTGTTGATCGGTTCTCACGGTATGCATACTGATGAGGGTCCTCATTGATGTTGATGGTTGTTTTGATGCGAGTCATGACCAGTCTTTCAAAGCATTTAGCGACTATCGGGGTGAGGGCCACTGGCCGATAGTCATTCAGACCAGTCACTGTAGAGCTTTTTGGGACTGGGATGATGGTGGCAGTCTTCAGGCAGGTGGGAACTGTCTCCAGGGTAAGTGAGGTGTTAAAGATGTCTGCCAGCACCTCACAGAGCTGATCAGCACATTCCTTCAACACTTTTCCGGGGATGTTGTCTGGGCCAGTTGCCTTGTGTGGATTAATCGTCCTGAAGGTACTCCTTACTTCTGCTGAGGTCCTCCTTACTTCTGCTGAGGTCACGCTGAGATGCTCTTCATCCGGTGGTGAGGTGAGTCTGGTGCTGGGTGGTCTGTTTGGGTCTTCAAAGCGTGCATAGAACTTGTTGAGGGCATCAGGCAGAGATGGGTCTTTGGGGCATTGTTCGCTCCTTCCTTTATAATCTGTTATGCACTTAATGCCCCTCCACATGCTCCGAGGGTCTTGTGAGATGAATTGACCCATGATCCTCTTTGCGTATGTGCCCTTGGCCCTCTTAATACCAGCAACCGGCTCTTTTCTTGTTCTACTCAGCTCCTCTGAGTTTCCAGACCTGAAGGCAGTGTTCCTGGCTTCCAGCAGGGTACGCACCTCTGCATTCAGCCATGGTTTTCTGTTTGGTAGCTTTTAACATTTCTGATAGTGGAGACGGTGTCAGTACATGTACTAATGTAACCCAGAACTGAGGATGTGTATTGGTCAAGATCAAGCAAACCTCCATTTTCAGCAGATTCTCTGAAAACCTGTCAGTTTGTTCGGTCAAAACAATCTCTCTCTCAGTATGGGGCCACTGTCCTGGATCCAGCATTTAACTTTCTTTTGTAGCGGTCTGGAGCGTCTCAGCGGGGGCATGTAAGCAAGAGCCAGGAAGATTGAGATGTGGTCTGACAGTCCTAGGTGGGGGTGGGGTTCGGCTCCTGCAGTGATTCATTAGCATTAGCGTCCGGAGAAATGTAAACGACAGAAATGAAAGTCACCGTGAACTCGCGGGGTAGATAATGTGGCCGACATTTCACTGTTATTTGCTCCAAAGCCTTCGAGCATGAGCTATTTACAAAAGTACAGTTTGTGCACCAACTTTTACTCACGTAAATGCACACTCCGCCTCCCCGTGATTTCCCCGTTAGCTCGCTGCAGCTCGAAAAAAAAGTCTGTCATCCAGCTGGAAGACTGTGTCCTTTCCGTGAGGCAAAGCACCGCACACTTCTTCATCTCTTCTGAGGCGCCCGCTCTCAGACGAAGTAAATCCATCTTGTTGTCCAACGAGCGGACATTCGACAGAAAGAAAGATGGCATGGGGAGTTTACCGGCTTTAGCGTTAGCTCGTAGCCTCACCATACCCCCGCCCGGCATCCTCTCCTCTTAAGCCGGGAGCAGCGCTTCCTCTTCTGCCCGCTGGAACGCCTCTGCTGCAGCTTCCAGGTAGATGACTTTAAGATCTGCATTCTGCCGAGCGTAGTTTTGAGTTTGTTGCTGATTTCTGCTATATTTCGTGGCAAATCCGCTCCTATTCTCATCAGTTCGGTTCGGCTATAGTTCACACGCATAAATCGCGCGGAGTCAGGCACAGAGTCAATATCAAAACTTCTAAAAACTGGGATGGTACCGGGAGCCTGTGAAGCTGCAACTGCTCTGAACGCGGCCATCTTGCATCTATCCATGCATATATCCTCAGCCCGCTGCAATTCTAACAGTAATTAATGGCACCATGTAGCCTCTAACAAGATGGTGGCATGAATTCATGCCTCATTTGCTTAGAGTGCGCTGTGGTTGGCCTTACAAATGTACTTCTGTTTCAGTGTCTCTCACTGTCCAAAACTAAAGCAGTTTTTATTTGACTTTTTTTATAAAACCACTTAAAATCAGCTCTAACTTTAACCCTGACCTAGCACTCATTGGCAGATGGACTGATAACCAAACCATCTTGCTGCTTGGCTTCTGCTCTAGAAGCCAGCATCTTGTGACTTTATGTTTTAAATGGTGGTGACTAGTCCATGTGGTTGCTGTAGTGTGTCTGAACAGTGTGAGTACCAGGGATCTTAAAGATGAAGTGGTCAGCTACAGAGTGGCAGGTACGGCCCTTCTGGATGATCACGTTAGCCAGGAAGTAGTAATAATCAATGGGAATGGCTCCGTGGTAATAGACGATAAGAGCCGGTCCTTTGTCAGGGATCTTGTCCATGCCGTGAACCTCATAGCCTGGTACAATGGGGAGAGTAAAAACAACAAGTGTTACATGATGCATTCATTTAACCATCAATTTGAACAACAACTTATACCATTTCACATTTCCAATGGTTTTACTGAAATACCTCTGACATTGTTGCCAAAGAAATTCTGAGCATTTCATTGCATGGACGTCTAAAAATTGAATCTGGCATTATTTAGGATAACACACCCACAAAAAAAAAAATAAAAATCCTTGAAAAGACTCCAGTTTGTCTAAATAGTTGCAGCAACAAAATTATATTGTTATATTTTTCCAACTTTAGCATTTCTTATAATTTCTCTTGCAGTAAAATTCAGAATATGATTTATTAATGGCCCAGTAATCCACAAATATCGCCTGCTGCCTTTTATATCAGAGTTTTAAATTAGATCTTAGATTGTCTTAAAAATTACAAAGTTGAAAATATTTTGGTCAAACCTTGAAAATGAGCTTCAGCCAATCTCATGTTAGGAATGACTCTCAGCTACCGCCACATCATATTTTAGCACTACAGTATATCTGTAGAATTTACTCATTTACATTTGCTGTGTTTTATTGTCAGCTGTCACAGCAATCTTAAATTGCACTGAAAATAATAAACAAGCCAACCATAGTATTTACAAACCGGATTCCAAAAAAGTTGGGACACTAAACAATTTGTGAATAAAAACTGAATGCAATGATGTGGAGATGGCAAATGTCAATATTTTATTCGTAATATAACATGGATGACAGATCAAAAGTTTAATCTGAGTAAATGTAGTGATGTAGGGTTCGGTTAGCTTCAGTTAGCTTAGGAGCTCTACTACAATCAATATTTAATAACGGGTTCTCTCTTTTTCGAGCTACTTGACAGATATGTGACAGAGATACTGTGTTGGAGATGGTCTAATCAGTGACATGAGACGTTAATTTTCTTTGACCCATCAAAATGAATGTGGTCATTTATTAACAGAATCAAAATTTAACATCAAAACATTGTACACTTGATTATTCTGATTGGCTCTGATTAATAAAACTTGGCACGTTTTACTTAATAAAAACAACAGACATATCCTTAGATCTTAAATTAATGTCTACAGACTTAGCTATCTTTTTACTGGCAGAGAAATATAGAAGAGTTTTAAAGATGGGAAATGAAGGAGTTTAAATGGAGGGAAAAAATGGATGAGGGAAAGTGTGTTGACGAAGAACGGCACCATCCATCCGAACCCAGCTCAGCCTCGGTACACTGGTAGTGAAGCGACTCGTTACCTTTGCAGAAGATAGGTCAGCTCCGGTACGGAGTTCCATTTCAACGCTACCTTTCAGCGTCTCCTTAGGATGGCTGAGAATCGTCCGAAGTAGTGACGGTACTCCGTTCAACAACACGCTCACCTCCAGGGTGGACTCACATGAGCTGTGAGTCCGTCAGAGGTTCCACTCAGACGTGGAAGATTCCATAATCCCAACTAGACTCGGAAGAACTCCCAACTAACTCCAGCACTTCTGTTCTCCTGGAACTTCTGTTCTCTCCCAGAACTTCTGTTCTTCTGTGCTCCCAGAACTAACTGGAACTAGGAAGTGTTGACTTTTAAAGAGTTCTGCTTCCGGTCACTTTTGGGAAGTCCTGATTGGTTGAAAGAACCAACAGGGGTGTGGTTTTAGTGACGTCAGATGGTTACTACAAGTCAGAAAAACAGCGGAGATGTTTGGGAACAGACAGAGAAATGTTTTGGGGAAATGACAGACCCACAGGTGCCAGCTTTTCTTGTTTCTGTCTGAGAGGTTTAAAAACATGACAGTTCGTTCCAATAAACTTGTTTGCGACTGTCTCCGACTTTTGACCGACATCACTCCTTCTCATTTCAGACAGAAGATCAAAAAATGCATAATTACTTTGTAACAGACATTTTAACTTGATTTCTACTTTGAATGAGGATTTAAAAAAAATCATTAATACTGTTTCACAGTTGATTTAAAATGAGTGGTTCACTTCAACATTTAAAATGGTTTGAACTAAACACACTTTTGATTATCAAGACATTGTAAAAATAGTAATGATAACATAAAAAAGAGAGTGTTCTTTCAATTAATTAGTTCAGGATACAATTAGAAAGTCTCTGGATGAGCTAAGTTGTATTTCTGGATTCAAATCAATGAAATAACAGTTCCTGTCCCATGAAGGTCTTCAGAGGCAGGTTTTGACCGGAGGCTTAGTTCACTACATAAATCTAACATTTTAAAGGAAAAATATGTTGATTCAAAATTTCAGTGTCAACAAATCCCAAAAAAGTTGGGACAAGTAGCAATAAGTGGCTGGCAAAAGGAAATTGAGCATATAACAAACAGCTGGAAGACCAATTAACAATAATTAGGTCAATTGACAACATGATTGTGTATAAAAAGAGCTTCTCAGAGTGTCTGTGTCTCTCAGAAGCCAAGATGGTAAGAGGATCACCAATTCCACCATTGTTGCGCAGAAAGATAGTGTAGCAATACCAGAATGGTGTTACCCAGTGTAAAATAGCAAAGACTTTTAAGTTATCATCATCAACCGTGCATAACATCAAAAGATTCAGAGAATCTGGAACAATCGCTGTGCGTGAGGGTCAAGGCCGTAAAACTCTACTGGATGCTCGTGATCTCCGGACCCTTAAACGTCACTGCACCTCAAACAGGAATGCCACTGTCAAGGAAATAAGAGAATGGGCTCAGGAATACTTCCAGAAAGCATTGTCAGTGAACACAATCCACCGTGCCATCTGCCATTGCCAGCTGAAACTCTACAGTGCAAAGAGGAAGCCATTTCTAAGCAAGCTCAGACGTTTGCACTGGGCCAGGGGTCATTTAAAATAGAGTGTGGCAAAATGGAAGACTGTCCTGTGGTCAGATGAGTCACGATTTGAAGTTCTATTTCGTATAGGCTTCGCCCTTTAAGGCTGTCGCTTAGTGGGTTTATCCCGTTATGCGAAGCATCACACTAAAAAAATTTAGTCCACGCCCACCTGCTGTGTGGGCCCCACCCAATCCGTATAAGTTACATTAAGAGCGGGTTATCACCTCCCATTTTTCTTCAGCAAGCTAACAACACTGACCTTCAACAAGATGTCCAGCTCCAACACCATCCGCTTGTGTCCATCCTGCAAGACCGGTTACTTGCTCAGCTTTGACCGGCACGACACATGCGAGGGATGCCTGGGTCCCCGCCACGTCGCCCGCGCTTCCTCCTGCCGCCTCTGTGACGATCTTCCACCGGAGGAAAGGCAGAGGAGAGCAGCCTTGTTTAAGGCTAACATCGAGGACTGCCTGTCTGTGGCGGGAGACTGTTCGCTGGACGACGCAATGGATTTCTTCGACGCCGGCTCTCAGAGCGAATCGGATGGTTCCTCTGGGACTGGTGATGTTAGCAGCAGCCCCGATGCTCGCTCCCTCCCGGGGAGCGCAGTGTTGGAACGAGGGGGGCCGAGCGGATGCTCGACCCCTCTGGGCTTTCCCGCCTCAACGGCCACATCGCTCCCTGCCGTCGGCGCACTCCTTTCAGAGTTGCCCGTCATTATACGGGAAGCTGCTGGCATGAAGGGACTTTCCGTTCCCTTACACCCCCCCCCCCCCCCGCCCAGATCGGATGATCTTGCGGGAAGGTTTGGCTCCACGCCGGCTCGCCGTCCTGATCACATCTGGCCTCGTTTTCAAGCAGTGACGTCGTAATGGAACGAGGCCGCAGCCGGTCCTGGTAAGCTGAGAGGGCCCGTCACCACTTTCGCTCCCATCACCAGAGTGGAGGGGTTCACCGTGCGGGGCTATCCCTCGGTACTCCCCCTTGAGCCAAGCCTCACGGAAGCTTTCGGAGCGAAGCTGTCCAGGTTGGAGCAGCGTCCCGTCCCTCCTGGGAAACACGACCAGACGGTGACCACGCTCTCCAATCGAGCTCATCAATGTGCCTTTCAGGCAGCCTCAGCTAACAACAACGTGGCGCTGCTAGCATACAGCGTGCCCAAGAGGCTGGAGGCCGCAGACCTGCCTGAGGAGACCAAGAGCTCCCTCTGTAAGGCAGCCGCCGCCATCCTCAACATGTGTGCCTCTTCTGTGGTTTGCCTGTCCAGGATTGCAGCATGGATGACGATGATTCAGCGATCCACCTGGCTTCGTCACTCCCCCTCGCTGCCGGAGAAACTGCACAGAGACCTGAAGGAGGGACCCATCACAGCGGACGCGCTGTTCGGGAGCAGCTTCAAAGCCATGCTGGCTAACTCTAAGCAGTCGGAGGAGGTGTCAGAGGCTGTGCGCCATCTCATCAAGCCGCGAGGTTCATCCCGCCCCCCGGCCCGCTGGAGAGACCGTCGTGAGCAGAGGCAGAAGCAACGACGTTCCACGGGCGCGGCGGCGTGGTCTCCCTCAGCTCCACCACCAGGCCCGCCCGTCAGAGGAAAGCCCTCTTCATCCCGGCAACCAGCAGTTCAGCATTTCCCCAGAGTTGGCCTGCAGACGGCGCCCTGGGCTAACAAATCGCAGAGCTCACGGGGGAGAAGATTTAAAAAATGACGGTCTGCTGAGGGTGTGTGTAAAAGTGACACGAAAGTTGAAATAAATCATCATTCAATGATCAAAGTGTCTGTTTTTAGCCAGTCTGTAAGCTCGGATGAACTCACAGCGGCTGCGCACACATCATCCACACATAACGAGCCGGTCAAGGAGGATTTAAGGTCAAGGAGGATTTAAGGCCGGTCAAGGAGGATTTACGGTCAAGTCTTGGAGCGACTCACCGTCGCTGAAGACATGACGAGACGCTCACACGACACGATGGTCAGCGAAATAACTCGTTGTCAACCCGAGCTGCACGATCCTCACCCAAGCGGTGTTAAACGTGCACTCGCACGACGCAAACAGCCTTCATCCAAACGGCGCTGCGATGATGATGGTTCACACACAGCTCCCCGGCGCTCACATCGGCTCACATCGGCATAAATGTGAGACCGCAGGCCGGGTCCGGTGAAGGTCCTCGTTCTCA